GGCTAATGTGGTAGCCGACACCCTGAGTCGCCGGGCAGAGAGTGCCCCGTTGCGAGGTGTATGTTTGCGTTTGACCGTGATGACTCCGGTGTTGGACACCATTCGAGGAGCACAGGCTGAGGCAGTAAGGTCGGAAAACCAGAAGAAAGAGCGAGTTGTTAGATTGGTATCAGAGTTTTTACCGATGGTCGGGGGCTTATGACTTTTCAGGGGCGTATTTGGGTACCGTTTGTGGGAGGTGCGCGTGTCATTTTGATGGAAGAGGCTCATCGGTCGAAATTCTCAATCCATCCCGAGGCCAGTAAGATGTATTTGGATTTGAGGAGGGAGTATTGGTGGCCCTGTATGAAGAGAGATGTTGCGTGGTTTGTCGAGAGGTGCTTAACTTACCGTAAGGTTAAGGCCGAACATCAGAGGCCGCATGGTAAGTTGCAGCCATTGGAGGTTCCCGAATGGAAGTGGGAACAGATAACCATGGATTTTATCACCAAATTGCCAACGACTGCTCGGGGAGTTGATGCAATTTGGGTGATTGTGGACAGGTTGACGAAGAGCGCTCACTTCCTTGCCATCAGTGAGAGTTCTTCCGCAGAGAAGTTAGCAGAGATTTATGTGAGGGATGTGGTATCTCGGCATGGGGTGCCGATCTCGATTGTCTCCGACCGGGATGTGCGTTTCACTTCCAGGTTCTGGAAGAAGTTCCATGAGGAGTTGGGTACTAGGCTGCATTTTAGTACTGCATATCACCCCCATACAGACGGACAGAGTGAGCGGACGATTCAAACCCTCGAGGACATGCTCCGAGCATGTGTATTGGATTTCGGGGGGGAGTTGGGATACGTATTTGCTGTTGGCCGAGTTTTCTTACAACAACAGCCATCATTCGAGCATCGGTATGCCACCCTTTGAGCTGTTGTACGGGAGGAAGTGTCGGACCCCCATTTGCTGGGGAGAAGTCGGGCAACGTGTTATGGGCAACACGAAGATAGTGCTTCAGACGACAGAGCAGATCCAGCAGGTCAGACAGAGGTTACTGACTTCTCAGAGTCGACAGAAGAGTTATGCGGACAGACGCCGGTCCGAACTTGAGTTCCAGGTCGGTGATTTTGTGCTCCTGAAGGTCTCTCCTTGGAAGGGAGTGTTCCGATTCAGGAAGAGGGGCAAGTTGGGGCCCCGATATATTGGACCATTTCGGGTAGTTGCGAGGGTAGGCAGGGTAGCCTATCGCTTGGATTTGCCAACAGAGTTGGGGTAGATTCATGACACTTTCCATGTGTCGCAATTGCGGAAGTGTATAGCCGATGAGTCGATAGTGGTTCCATTAGACGATATTCAGGTGGATGCGAGCCTGAATTATGCTGAGAGACCAGTGGCCATCAGAGATCGGAAAATCAAAGTTCTGAGGAACAAGGAGGTGCCTTTGGTCTTGGTCCAGTGGCAGCATCAGAAGGGATCCGAGATGACGTTGGAACCAGAGCGTGAGATGCGAGAGCAGCATCCGAAGTTATTTGCAGAGTGATACTTCGAGGGCGAAGTCTAGTTCTAGTGGGGGAGAATTATAACAGCCCAGAATTTCCAGGTATCGATTTTGGAATTATTTATGAAAATTGTGAGTGGACTCGGCGAGTTGGAGCTCAAACTCGCCGAGTAGGATCGCAGATTTGGGCACGGGTTCGCGTCCAGACTCGACGAGTCCAAGAGTGGACTCGGCGAGTCCATGTTGTGTGGTGAAACCCTAATTTCTGGGGTTTGAGGCCTATTTAAAGGGACTTATGGCCGTCATTTGTGCTCACCCAACCCTTAGAGGGAAACCCTTGAGTACTTGAACGTTTTGAGAGAGTAAGGAAGCATTCTTGACCTTGTGTGTGTCATTTACCAAAGAAGGAGAAGATTCTAGGCAAGAGGAAGCAAAGTAGGTTGCTATTTCGTGGATTTGAAGCTTAGATCATCAATCTAGAGGTATGATTTCGGTTTATCCTCGGTTTTGTGAAGTATTATGGGATCTAGGGTTTCTTATGGACATTTACGGGATGATTTGATGCCAAATAGTTCCCTTCTTGTGTTGAGGCTTTGGATCTGGATCCATAGAGGTCCAGAGAGCCTCACTCATCAAGCTTTATGTATAGCAATGGAGTTTATGACCTTGTGTTGTAGTATTTGAGTCAAAAACCTCATATATGGTCATATAGAGATTATATGTGCATCAAGATTGTGGCTTTACGTGCTAAATAAGCTTGGAAGGACTGGATCTATGGGTTAATGGACTGAATCTGGCCTTATGAGCAAGTTTGAGTCATTGCATGGCACGGACTCGCCGAGTCCGAAGAACAGACTCGGCGAGTAGTTTGAATAATACCCGACCACACAGCGAGTGCTCTTGCTGAGTAGGGGAGGTTCGACTCAGTGAGTCAGGGGGAATCAGAGTGGACAGGTGGACTGAGTCAAGCTGGACTCACCGAGTTGTTCTTGAGACTCGGCGAGTTGAGTCGTGGTGGCCCCACAACTCATGCCAGGTGGAACTCGTCGAGTTAAGCGAATACTCGACGTGTCAAGGGAGGATTTCAGGGAAGTCAGTATATACGCTCAGACTCGCCGAGTCGCTATAGTGCACTCGCCGAGTCTGGTCAAAGTTGACCGTTAACCGTTGACCAGCGTTGACCTAAGTTGACTTGTTAAAGAATAGTCAATCTTAGTTGGGAAAGTGTTAATTAGAGATGTATTGTGATTTAGGAGGACTGTAGCTCGGGAGATTGAGCACTAGTGATTTCAGGATTCACGACTTACCGAGACGCGCAAGGTGAGTTTTCTCACTATACTTTACCTTGAGTAGGTAACCAGAGTTATGTGATAGGGTGTTTGTATGCTATGTATGTTATGTGTTGTATTGCATTATTTCTATGTGATTTATGATGTGCATGTTTACAGAGTTAGAACCTAAGGGTTCACATAGTTTGGGTGCACGGACCCACAGAGTTATAGCCTCGAGTGGCTAATATGTGTTATATGTGGTATTTTGGGGAACTCACTAAGCTTTGTGCTTACAGTGTTTGATGTTATTGTTTCAGGTACTAGTGACAACCGCGGGAAGGTGCCGGCTTGATCCGTACACACGCACGGAGTTTATATATTTGTGATCTTGGGATTTTGTATTTACTTGAATTGGATAATTACTTATGGTTGTTTTATGAATATTAAATGAATTATGTTTTATAAAAATTTGAAAAAATTTGCTTTGAAATTTACGGTGTTACATTGAACATGAACACAAAATACACCAATCATGGTCCTTTTCTCACTTATCAAACCATAGTTGACCATAAGACGCCATCTACAAGCTTTGGAGTTCTTTAACTCCAAGAACATCTATGGAAGGGACCAAAACTACCCAAATATAACCTAGAACTTGAATCTAGAAGAAGAGATGTAAGGAATTAACTTTATACCTTCAATAACTTAGAAAACTGGAGAGAATGTTGGATCCAAACTTGCTTCTTGCTTCCTTGTAAACTTCCCTCTTCTCAAGCTTCACCAAAGATCCAAGAACAAAGCTCAAAATCAAGGAAATGGACTCTCAAACATGCATGGAGGCTAGGGTTTTGCATGGAAGGGTTGGAGGCTGAAGAGGATACCATAAACTTAAAGTTTAAGGGCTTAAATATGGTAGAAACCCTAAAACTTTATGGGCTTGGGCTGCACTAGCTGTCACGTTATGTCATTCTTATTGGCATGTTGTGGCAACCATCCAAAACGCGCATCCGATGTATTCCAGGCCGCGTCGTGGCAGTCCATCCACCATGTCGTGGCACCAAGTTTTCCCCAAAACTTTCCTCCTAATTCATTCAAGTTCTCAGCTGACCTACACGGGAATATAGGTGTTACAATCATTATGCTTTATTGCTTTAGCAGTATAATGTTTGGTATGTTCGCAGATTTTAGGATGGTGCTAGGGAGAATGGACTTCCCATTGTTTTGGCTTGTAATATTAATATAATATATTATAATACTTAAAAATATTAGAAAACAAGAATTTAATTTGATGCCCTAACTATTTTAAACATTATCTTCTTAACATATATATATATATATATATATATATATATATATATATATAGTTAAGTTATTACCATTGAATTTTTATGTTAAGAAAAAGATGTTTCCAACTAGAAAATTTCAATCGGGTTCTTCTAAACGTAAAAGAAAACAAAAAAGAAGAACAATTTATTCATAGTGAAAGAGAATATACCAGTCAGTTTATCGCTAAATAAATACCGAATATCATGATAATGAAGAATCGGCTGTGGAAAAACATAGAGAAGATGAAACCGAATTATATGTGTCAAACACTTAATATGGATGAAATTCATGAAGCTGTGGAAGAATGTAGCGAAGAAGTTCATGATATTGTTGAAGAATCTAGAGAAGAAGAAATTAAAGTGCAAGTGCAGAAGATATGTCATGTGTAGATGAAGACATAACCACCTTGAATGGTAATGATAATAACAAATAAGATATTTCAGTGAACATTATCCTAGAAATTGGAATGTCTCATAAATGAAAACATCAAGACATGATGTCTGTAGTAGTGTATTTATAAGATATTTGTTAGAAACTTTGAGTTTTAAGTTTAGTTATAGCAAATTTATTTAATAATATTTTTTTAAAAAAATTTATGCGTGACTTTGATTTTCACACAAAGTCTCAAGAACGCCACTATTGCCTTTTAGTAAGGTCGATAGTGTAATATAATTAATATAGTATATGTGTACAATTATTACAATAATACATATAACAGTCTATTGTACTATATATACAACGTAAAATAAAGAAAATACACATTATTCAGTATATTAAACAATACCAATGTTTGGTAAGAGAGCGTTCTCATTTATTCTTTTGTCGGATCACGGATGACTATCAAATTTTCCTTTTTTTATTTTTTATTTATTATTATTATTTTTTTAAAAGACTTTTATAAGTACACGTAAAATATTATTCTTATTGTAATTCTGGAACAGGTGCCGTATGTGTTGCTAGAACCCTGATCCAAACTCGGATATGCATCTGCATTTTCTAAAATAAATGTAAGAGTATTTTTGCTTAATGTGACGCTTCTTTTATTTCTTTTTTGTAATGATATCTAAAAAAGCCATCTAACGATGATACACAACATGTTTTAAATTAGTGGATCCATTTAAAAAGGTCACCTTGTCAATTATGTTGAACAACAGGTAGTGATTTCAGGCTCTATGTAGGTTATTATCAGGAAATACTCCAGTACATATAATCTGCATTGCTTATTTAGTGTCCTACGTACGAGCATTCATGCAACAATGTTTACTGGCATTACTGCAACAATTGTACCTAAAACAGATAGAACCAAAAAGCAGAGCCTCATTCAGGACCATATATTATTGATCAAGGATCGAGCCCCATGGTCCTTAGTGGTCCACTTTCCCCTCAAAACGAGACAAGTCGACCTCATTTATGAAAATAATCTTATCATGGACTGGTTTCATAAAGAACTTAGTCGGATAACCTTCAACATAAGGAAAATTAAATGCTTCAAAATATGATTTAATCATGCAACTGTCAAAACTTGTAGAAACTGAAACCTACTTGTGGAACATAGAGTAACTGAAACTGTTTCTTTCATAGATTTTTATGGCGTCCATTGGTGGCCGCGACCATGGAGTCAGCTTCCACATCCTTTCTTGAACGACTCCGACCACGGTGCAAATGTTTTTCACAGTACTTGTAACCGATGACAACTTCTTTGCTACACCTCCATTTCTTTCCATCTGTTCTCTTACATCTTCCTGGTTCAGCTTCCATGCTGTTTTTATAGTTGTCATACAAACTACGATCGCATCCTGACCCTGTGATTTGCAAGTAGAGTTTATATGGGGAGAGTTATATGACACTGAATAGTTAAATATTACCTGTGAAAGAAGCGAGCACAGAGTTCCAAATAGGGAGGAGGAGATTAGAAGGAACAGGCAATCCAGCTTCCATGTATTTGTAGATTAGAGCTTGTAATTTGAGCTCCTCCATCTGCATAAAGGTGAACCCTGTGCCCCCATTCCTACCAAGAACACTCATATAGTTCGCATTTTGTTCAAGAAGAGATGATGAGTCTGCTGCTGAAGACGACGACCCTTCTACACCATTCATTACTCAACCCTCAACTACCCTCATTCATGTTGGAGTATCTGAGAGAAGATATATATAGAGAGAGTGTAATAATATTATTAGTATGTAAAATAGTATATTATTTGTCTTTGGAATATTAAATGGTGGGGTAGAGAAAACAAAAAACTGAAAATATCAGACTATAGTTTGGGAAGGATGTAAAAGCGGCGGTATTAGGGTGGTGGTTGGTTGTAAGGTGTCCACGCCACCACCAGCTTAATAGTATGGGGCTAAGACAAAATAATTGGCACATTTCATAAGGCGGCTGCCGACTGGTGGTTGCCGGTGGTAAATGATATAATTTAGCTTAGCTGAGGCTGTCACTCCCCGTGAGGGGGTGGTGCAGTGTTGCAACAGTGTCTCTCTTAATTTGACCCCCTCTTTATTGATGTTCCAGAGATGTCACGGTTCATACGTGAGTTTTTTAATTGACATGCGTTCCATAATCAGTTATTGGTCACAATTATTATGAGTGCACTTGATTAGATTAGATGAGATGATGTGTTACTTTATGATAATGACAAAGATGGTTTTTGAAAATTGATTTATTGATTTTTTTAAAATTTAATAAATCAAAAATAAGAGTTTAACAATCTTAAAAATACTTTTCAAATGATTTTTCTATTATTTATAAAAAAAACCTTAAGAATGACTTTTGAAAAATATGTAAAACTTGCTTTTGAAACTTCTTTTAGATCGTCTGTCATACATGCTACAAAAGGATATGTGGTAGACCTTGTCACATGTAATATTCCGAGATTCAGGTACTTCTAAATTTATCCCTATGATTTTATCATATGACAATTTAGTCCTTAAGTTCATGAGAATGAGTATGGATGAGCAAGGATCGGTTTGGGTTGAGTTTTGGCTAAAACCAAACCAAACACTAGAAAGTCGGTTTGTTCGGTTTTCAAACCAATATTGGTTCGGTTTTTGCATGGTTAGGTTTTTCAGTTTTCCGGTTTTGGTTTATGAGTTTTCGGTTTTAAACCGTGGGTTTATAAATTCCTATTTTTTTTTTCTAGTTTTTGGGTTCAAACCAATGAAAGTACATTGCGATAAATAATATTGTATCCATCTTAAATATACTAAAATAAATAGTACAGATTCTAGTATTCTAAAAGCATAAAAGTGTTCAAAAGATCAAAATCTAACACCATTAATAGTTTGTTAAAAATAAACATAATGTACTAAAGGGATAAAGTTTAAAGTCTAAAGTTAAAATGTACTGAAGGGATAAAGTCTAAAGTCTAAAATTAAAAGTTTAAATGTAATAAATAGTATATATGTGGGTTGGTTCGGTTTTTATGGACGGTTTTATACATCAAAACCGAACCAAACCATTATTTTTCGGTTTTTGTAAAACTCAAACCTAAACCGTCAGTTATTGCTTTGCATTCGGTTTTTTCGGTTTCAACTATTTTGGTTTTTTTTCGGTTTTTTGGTTTTTCAGTTTGATTTTTGCTCATCCCTAAGAATGAGACTTGAACTATTGTGGCAATTTCATAACTTGAGAAGGATGAGTAAGCTAAGCGTACATGAGGGTACGCTGAGCGTACTAGGGCGTACTCTTATATACGCGGGTCATACTCTTGTCAGGAGAAAACCCTAGTTTTTGGGTTTGGGTGGTATATAAGCATCATTATAGCTCATTTCTCCCCACCTTTTCAGCCTCCATACCCTTTGATTCGTTTTTGGAAAACCCTAGTCCATTAAGAGTGTATTTAAGCTAAATAGTGTGTTTTTGGTGTGCTTAAGGAATAAGGAGTTGCATCAAGGAGCTTAGAATTTTAAGCAAGCTTGTGGATCTTGGATCATTACCTTCCTAAGGAGCTCAGAAGGTAAAACATCTTCACCTTGATGCATTGTTTGATTAGATCTCATTTTCGGGTCCTTATGTTGTTCTTCTTGTCCCAAAGGTCCCATTTTTGTGCATGAGTGGTTATTATCGTTTTGAGCTGTCCTTCCGAACCCTAGGAGGAGTCCTTAGCAATAAAAATGAGGCCCCTTTAGCTAGTTTTGCTCCATTTATCTTGTAGAAGGTCTTAATGGATTAAGACCTTGTGTTAAGGACATTTTGGACGTGTAAAGTCATAAATTTGGGAACTTTATGACCCTAGTATGCCTCTGGACCTTGGATCTGATGTTTGGGCTTAAGTGTTGAAGTCATTAAGCACTTAATGAAGAAAATAGGGTTGCGAGGTTACGTCTCGTGTAGCTTGGAGCATGCCTCGCATACTAGGTCAGCCACCCCAATGGTGGTCTTCTGTATTGCTTCGCGTACGCTGAGCATACCTCCGGAGTACGCCCCACATACTTGCATGGATCAACCCATGCTTAGTTAACTCGTTTGGGTTGACTCGGTGGATTTATTGGTTTTGACCAGTCGACTCTGATTTTAACCAAGTTTTACCTTGAGGTTATTTTGAGTATTTTGGAATTCTTATGGAAATTTGTCATTTGATGAAATTGGGTATCGTGTAGAGAGTTGAGATTTAGATTCGGACCTCATCAATTCTATTCAGTTTGCAAGGTGAGTTTTTCTCACTGTACTTGTGGGTCGAAGGCACCAATGTCAGCCCATTGAATTAATATCCTGTTATGTATGTTGTTGTGTTGTTGTGATGAGTCAGGTGGAACAAAACATGCTGGAAGCACAAGCATCATTTAATGAGGCACAAACGATGCTTCAAACGAAAACCAATTTGAAGATATTAAAAATGAAGCGGATGACTAAGAAGGAGAAGACTTGGATATTTTTCTCGGGATGAAAGAGTCCGTTCGAGTCAAAAATAGGAACCGGGGGTAGTAGTTGTTATTATTATTTTTTTTAAATCTTTTGCATTTTTATGTTTTTTAAGGGATATATACACTAAAGTTCAAATATTTTCAATGATTTGACAAGAAAGTCATAAACTTTTTTTTTATAGTAAAATCCTAACTATCGGTAAAATTTCACACGTTTATCATTTTTTGTCGATTAGCAGGTAATTAGGATTTTATTGTAAAAAAATATAGTTTAAGACTTTCTTGTCAAATTGTTGAAAATATTGAGACTTTATTGTATAGTCTTGGTTTTCTTAAAAACAAATAATTTTATCAGTCTCGTGAGACCCAATTGATAGCCTAAGAACTTTTAATTGTAATTTTTGTGGCAACACCACTGTTTTTCTTACCATCATCATCTTTACCCTGATAGAATTACGATAAGGGGAAACAGATGCAAAAGAGAGAGGGGAAGAAGGTGATAAGACTTGTAAATCTTTCTTCTTGGTTCATCACTAAATCTTGAACTGAAAAGAGGGGACAAATTGTACAAATACAAACAGTACAACCTAGTCAAAAGGGTGTAAATGTGGAGAATGGGGTAAGAATGATAGTTTCATTTTTTCCGGTTTCTTTGTTCTCTATTTTTAGGACTATAAAAAGCAAACAAATCCATGGTTCTTTCTTTCTTAATTAATTATCTTCATTTTTTTCCAATATCGGTTTATTAAGATTAATATATATATATATATATATATATATATATATATATATATATATATATATATATATATATATATATATATATATATATATAATATATATATATATATATATATATATATATATATATATATATATATATATATATATATAACAAGAAACAAACATTATGAATTTCAATAGGATCTAGCTAACTAGAGCATGTTTTAATAACTCTTATGTTTTAGGACTATCATACCGTTAAATTTCTAACAAAAAAAAAAAGGATATATACAATAAAGTTCCAATATTTTCGACGATTTGGCAAGAAAGTCTTAAACTTTATTTTTTTGACAGTAAAGTTGTAATTCACGATTTGACAAGAAAGTTCTAAATTTTATTTTTTGACAGTAAAGTCTTAATTTCTGGCTAACTGGCAAAAAAAGATAAGTGTGTCAAAAACTACCAGTAGTTAGGATTTTACTGTAAAAAAAATAAAGTTTAGGAGTTTCTTATCAAATCATAGAAAATATTAGGACTGTAATGTATATTTCCCTTTTTTAATGTCAAGTGTTTTAATTAATATAGTTTTTTAATGTAATGTCTTATTTTAATTGAATGAAAAAATAGTTTTTTTAAAACAAAATTTATATGTTTTTATGTATTTTTGAATTAAATTTAATTAAAAAACATGATGTCGGGTGGTGTGTTATTGATAGATATCCCATTGATGGTTTAGTGATAAGAGGTGGTGATGAGATGATATCCACCACTATAGTGGTTAGTGGTGAGTATTACTGATGACTTTCACCCATAATAACTTTAAAATTGAGATTTTAAGCCAAATACTTTTTAACTTATTGATTTTTGCAACTATAAACACTAATCTAAACATTTTTTTTAAACATCTTTTACCACCATCATAAATCGATTTACTTTTGTCCAAAAACATTTTTTTAAGTAAAAAAAGCAATCCCAAATACCCACTTAACATCTTTTGCAAGACTAGATTAGATGAGTTAGATGTGTTACTTTTTATTTATAAAAATGATAAGGGTATTTTCGTCTTGAGTAAATTACACGAATGGTTCCTATGGTTGGGGATAATTTGCGTGTTTGATCCCTAACTTATTCTTTTTAACTAAGAAAGTCCTTACGGTTTGTTTTTGTTACGCACTTGGTCTATACTGTTTATTTTTTGTTACGTGCTTGGTTCCTGTCTTACCTAAAAATACTATTATTTAAATATAAAAAATAGTGAGGTAGATAAGGTAAGACGAGGGGGTTGGATGAGCTTGGATGTGTGTTTATTTAAATAAATTAAAAAATCAGTGGCAAAATAGCTTTTTTAATGTAAGACAAGGATCCAGCGCGTAACAAAAATAAACAATAGGGACCTTTAAAGTTAAAAAAAATAAGTTAGGGACCAAACACACAAATTACCTTAAACCATAGAGACAATTCTACTAATTTACTCTAACATTTTTTGCAAGGCGAATGATTGAGATGGAGTCCTTGTCCCATTCCATTAAAAGCCGTTTATTCAGATGAATATGTTGTTCTTTTCCAATATGGATTTTGTGCGATAATGTATATAATAGTTAGGATTTTATTTTCTTGTATTTTAAATTTTAAAACTCTTAAGCACAACAAAATCTTTTCCAATATGGATTTTGTGCGATAATGTATATAATAATTAGAATTTTATTTTCTTGTATTTTAAATTTTAAAACTGTTAAACACAACAAAATTACAAAACCAAAAACCATAGCTAAGGTGGATCCCACAACACTTGGGCGGACATGGCTCGCCTCCATTGACCCAAGGCTGCTATGTGTCATAAGCCAAAGTGGTGCAACCATAAGTAGGCTTGCACAAAAAAACCGGTTCAGGGTCCGAACCGGTCACTAAGCCGATAAATCGGTTCACTACGAACCAGTCCACTATGAACTGAGCTGCCGGTTTGCACCTGTTAGAGATTTTAGACATTGAAACCGGTTTAATAACCGTGAACCGCTTTGGAACCAGTAGTCAAACCGATCGAAACGGTTTAGAACCGACTGAACCGATTTAGATAGGTTCGAGTTTTTCTATAACGCAACCGGTTTGAACCGTACTGATTTATGGCTGAACCGGTTTTACGATTCAAGAATTGGAACCAAACCAGTTTACTGAACCGGTTCGGTTTGTAAAAAAAATTGTCCTAACCACAAGGATTGAAGCCCAATGGAACTAACGACCCATCAGCACACTTGGCCCACCAGGCTAAGGCCAAGTCGAGGAAAAACTCCATCTGTGTTCCTTTTCCCTCGTGGTGATGGTCGTGAATAATCGAGAAAAAAAAGCCAATAACTTTCTACTGATTATTTTCGTTAATTTTTCGTAATGTTCAAAATTGTGTGTTCGTTAGATTTTGACCAAAAGTTATTTCGTAGTTGTTCATGGAATAATTTATAGCACTAGGACTTATGCAACACATTTTATGTTTTATTACTATTAATTTTATGTGATGTATGATTTTAATATTTGGTTTAGAAACAAATTATAATAAAAAAAAAACTAAGTTATAATAAATTGATTTATTTAAAGAACTTGGTAATTTTAAAATTGGTTTAGAATTTGTTTAAATTTGTTTTAGCATGAAATGTGTTGACAAATATCTTGCATTGATGTAAATTATTCATCGTCACATGCATCATTTTCACCATTACTAACATTATGATAATTTAACGGTTCGACATATTAAATTTGTAGTTCTATGATATTTGACGTTGTACAATCGGCGTTTATGGTGATACAACTAACATTTGATGTTATACATAAGGTGTTTGGTGTTGTACACCCGAGTTCAAAATGGTGGTGTCGACATTGATATGTTGGTACCGGTGTTTGATATGGTGCCATATGTGTTTGATATGTCAAATAATATTCAAGAAAAACATACTAAATTATTTGATTCATATACTGTATTGATTAAACAGCTTGTGGATTGATTTATTATTGTATTGATGTTGCATATGCAATATAACCACCAAAATTGTGAGGATCATTTGGAGAGATATGCAACCTAAGTATATTGTTGCTACCTTTTCCTTTAGACATGTTCTCAACAGAGCTTTTCCACATCTGCTACTAGCCACTCTTACTTCGTTAGATCGATTTTCACCAACATATCGATTTGCAAGATTCTATTAAAAATCAACATTTTATGTCTCCTCCAATAGATCTTCTACACAGATGTAGATGTACAAGAGTTGAAACCTCCTTTGAATAACCTTCTTTAAACGCTTTACATCTTCCTCATTAACTATCTGAATAACATGCTTTAATGTATGGTGTTGGAAAGACAGAGATTGCTTTTAAAAAAAGACATGCTAATATTAGGTTTGTCATCTAAACATGCCATCTTTTTTACCAAATTGTATAAATCTAAAAAATTTATATTAACATAAGTTTCAACACCAAAATATCCAAAAAAAATTGTCTAATGTGTATTAATTTTCATTTTCTATTTGTCAAGAACCTCTAACACAAACAATAATATACCATTCATCTGAATCATTGGACCTGATACTATATCAACAAAAGCAAAAATGGAAAGGGTTTATAATTGATAGGGCGGATAGTGGTAATTGAACCAGTGTCTTCTCCTTGACAAAAAGAAATTTTATCATTCGACTATATCTGCTTTTTGTTTCGTTCTTGACACATAATATGTCTATAATACACAATATATATATATATATATATATATATATATATATATATATATATATATATATATATATATATATATATATATATATAGGGTTAGGTTCATGTGAGACGCCCTAATTTTGTGAGACCGTGAGACGCATTTTTATTTTATTTTATTTTATTTTTTTATTTTTTTAGTTAATTCAAGTTCCAAAATTAATATTTAAAAAAAAGAATTTTTGGATTTTTCTATTTATTTTTCATTTTAAAATTATTTTTTAGAATATGTACAGTGTAAATATTCTAACGTATTTTTCAAAAAAAAATGGATTTTTTTAATGTTTTTTTTTAGTTAATTCAAGTTTCGAAAATAATATTAAATTTTTTTTTTTTTAGATTTTTCCATTTATTTTGCATTTTAAAATTATTTTTTAGAATATGTTATTGTAATATTGTATTAGAATATTTCACGTATTTAAAAAAAAACAGGATTTTTTTTATTTTATTTTTATTTTTTTTAGTTAATTTAAGTTCCGAAAATAATATTTAAAAAAAGAATTTTTGGATTTTTCCATTTATTTTGCATTTTAAATTTATTTTTAGATTTGGTCTTACGGTCTCACAAAATTAGAATGATCTCAAATGAACCAGAACATATATATATATATATATATATATATATATATATATATATATATATATATATATATATATATAGGGTAAAGTGAATATACCTAACAACCTTATATAAGCTTACGTACCTAACTCCATAATACTACATTGGTTTGTATAATATTTACATTGTAATTGCCTAAGGTTCTTAAACTTCAACCCTAGAACTTGATTACTTCCAAAATCTTTGGATTTTGAACAATATCTTTCTTTTACATTACGTCTTTCTATCGAATACCACCTGATGGGCTTCATATCCTACCGCTACAAATGAAAAGATGTAGGAGAAATATAACGATGAATTTCCAAATTTTTTTGAAGTAAATCAAGTTTAGGGATGAACTTTAAGAACCTTTGATGATTGCAATGAAAATTTAATGCAAAATGACGTAGTTTGACGAGGTTAGGTACCTAAGCTTATATAAGGTTGTTAGGTATATTCACTTTACCCATATATATATATATATATATATATATATATATATATAGAGAGAGAGAGAGAGAGAGAGTATATATATATATATATATATATATATATATATATATATATATATATAGAGAGAGAGAGAGAGAGAAAGAGAGAGAGAGAGAGAGAGAGAGAGAGAGAGAGAGAGAGAGCATACTTATGGTAGGCATTGAGCCTAATTTTTTTATTAATTTGAATTTTGTATTCCTTTTTTTCATTGAAGAACAAGAAGTTTGACCCCTTCAAATTTTTTAGGGAGAATTTCATATATGCTCTTCTTAAACATTAAAATATCATATTTACCCAACGTAATTTCTAAATATCATATTTACCCTACATAAAATTTCTAAATATCATATTTACCCTTCATAAAATTTCAAAATATCATATATGTCCTTTTTAAATATCAAAATATCATATATGCCTTTCTTAAATATCAAAATATATTATATGCACTTTTTAAACATCAAAATATTAATGGTAATATCTAATATCTACAACATAATAATAATCAACAATAACAAAAAGTAAACAATCAAAATATACATTTCATAGAAAGGGTTGAAGATGAATCTTTTTGTCTATCAAGAAGCCGATATTCCAACAATTTAAAAGTTCATATTCAATTATCATACACGTAAGGATAATATTGTTAAATTTCTTAATTATTATAATAATTATAAGGTATAAATAATGATTATAAAATATTAAAAACATTATAAAAAAGATTTGGGCAAATATGATATTTTGAAGGTTTATGAAGGGTAAATATGATATTAAAAAATTAAACCGGATAAATATGATATTTTGAAGTTTAAGAGGAGCATATATGAAATTCTCTCAATTTTTTATTTTTTTCTTCTAGACAAATTTTTTTTCCCCAAAGATTTGGACAAAAATAATATTTTGAAGATTTATGAATGGTAAATATGATATTAAAAAATTAAACCAGACAAATATGATATTTTAAATGTTAAGAGGAACATATATTAAATTCTCTCAAATTTTTATTTTTTTTTCTTATAAACAACATTATTTTTCCCCAAAGATGATCGTGGATAAAATTCAAAACAAAACAAGAAACAAACTGAGTTTTTTTCTCCAAATATGACTCAATAAGTTTGATTATTTTTTTCTAAAAAAGAACTTCATTTTATAAGATATTATCCTCTGAAACATACAAATTTTCGTAGTATGATTTCTGAATTTTCACAGTTAAAATGATCAAAAAATAAATTACTGACATCATCATTCGCAAATTAAAGAAAATTTTCGCACTCAAAGCCACCTAAGAAAAATATGGTTAATTTTGAAAATTTTGATTTTGATTTTTGTTATTATGATAAAATAAATCATTTTCTCTTTGATTTATGCTTTTGCAGTTTCCTGTTGTACTTTATTTCTTGAAATTTCTTCAACTACCTAAAACGATGACGGTTTGGTGTTCCGTCTCCATATCTAGGCTCTCCTTGACCAGCTTCAGCAGAGTAGCCGCTTCTTTCCCTCTTCCATGTCGCAGTGTAATTAGCAGAAGAATCTCTGCGAAAATGCCAACAGGCTCATCATCCATCCAAATCACTCATACTTTAAAGTTACCAAGTCAACCTAGCGATCCCGTGACTGTTGTTGCCGCTCCTGGTGTCTCCGATTCCGAATTCAGGCGAGTTTCTCCACCTACTTCTTCCATTACGCGATCTCTTCGCTTTAATAACACCAATTAGTTTGATTTTGTAGTCGAAAATTATAACGAGATTACTGCCTAATTAGGTAAAGTAAGGGATTATGGTAAGATGTTCTTAAGTAAATTATTCGACATAATCAATTACCTACTACACTAATCGAGATTATTATTCCACCTTTTTCTACTGATTTTGACGCTTAAACGATAATCCATTTGAGTATAATCAGTATTTGGCCACCTTTTGATATTGTGGATTGAGTATAATCAGTATTTGGCCATTTCATCAGCCCTAGTAATAATTAGCATCCTCATCAATCTCTCAATGCCATTGTAATACAGCAAATTATGTACATTTCCTATATCTTAGCCAACTTTAATCCATGTTTTCCTCTTCAATTGTTTCGAGTTTCATGTTCAGCTTCTTATATGCTTCACCCTTTTTGTTGCAGATTAGCTATCGGTTCATCTTTATTTAAGCAGTGGCTAAAGAACATTCAAAGTGAAAAAGGACTCCTTGTGGATGGATCTTTGTCTCTAAAACAAGTCCTCATTCAGGTATTACTATCTTCAAGCAAAAGCAAATGCACCTTCTTAAGTACTCTTATCAGTTAATTTCTTCCAACAATTTGATACTAAAATTGTTGATGTAGGGGGTTGACATGTTTGGCAATCGTCTTGGCTTTCTCAAGTTTAAAGCAGATGTCATTGACAAGGAAACAGGACAAAAGGTATGGTATACCTTTACATTGTCTTGGATGCATTACATAAAAACATTGAACAACTATAAAAAGGAACTATCTTTTTAAGGGTTTTATTTATGTGTTAAATTTCATATACTTTTATAGGTTCCAGGTATTGTTTTTGCACGAGGACCAGCTGTATCTGTCCTAATCCTACTGGACTCCGAGGGGAAAACTTACACTGTTCTTACAGAGCAGGTTAGATTTTATATAAAGCAGAAAACAGATTATAGCAATAAAGCAGAAAATAAATAAAAGCACAAACACATAAAGAGGAAACTAAGAAAGTTTAACCTATGTAAAAATTTTAAGGTTAGAGTGCCTGTTGGGAGGTCTATTTTGGAGCTGCCAGCTGGGATGTTGGATGATAATGTTGGCGATATTGCTGGCACAGCAATACGTGAGGTCAGCAAAGTCTTTTCATTTTTGTTATTATTACTATTATTATTATTATTTAGTTAGAAAGAAAGATATATTCCTTTGTGAATTGCATATAAACATATTTCAAGTGGTTTGAAATGTAACACTATCTTAATTTGTTTGTTTGTTAATGATGTGAATAAGACAGGTAGAAGAAGAAACCGGGATTCAAATAAACTTAAATGACATGATTGACCTCACATCTTTTCTAGACCCTTCCACTGGATGCAAAGTTATCCCTTCACCGGTATGTGTGAGACTCACATTAAATCATTTAAATATATTTTTATTTATTTATTAATTTAAAATTTACTTTTTGTGGTGATAGGGTGGATGTGATGAAGAACTTAGCTTGTTTCTATACAGAGGAAGTGTGAGTCGAGATGTTATTAAAGAACTTGAAGGGAAAGAAACCGGGCTTAGAGAACATGGTGAAATGATCAAAGTCCATATCGTCCCTTATGACACACTTTGGCGTATGACACCTGATGCTAAAGTATTAATGTCCATTGCCATATATGAAATGGCCAAAAGAGAAGGTTTGCTGCCTCAAAAAGAGAATGATTTGCAATAGCCCTTCGTTAAACTAACCTTTAATCTACAAACCACAAAGCACACTAGGCCACCAAATGTATGCCTTTTATTAAATAAAGACAAGAAGACTTGAATTTTTAACATCTAAGATACATCAACACTCAAAATCCCACACCTTGCAAGTTTTGTATTGTATTGAATATTGATGATGATGATGTTAAACTTTACTTGAAACATAATCAGCATTTGTTGCTTCCCAGATTGTAGTCCCATCACACGTACAAAGCTTCTTATAATTCTCACCAACACCCGCACTTCTTGCAATAACAGCAGCTGCAATTCCACTATCCGATCTATCTTCACTTTCATACACTGCTATTGCTCTACCGATGAGGTCAGCAATTGTAAGGTCCTTTTTGACACCCGAGAAAAAAGCTTCACCTCTCTCATCAACCTCCAGTGTTCCCAGGTCACCAACAGCCTGAAACATTCACATAACATTCATAAACACAAAAAACCATATTTGGAAAATCAAGAAAAGGGGAGGGGAAGGGGCTTACCTTATTGAATGTTTTCCCGGTGCTTGCGACACCTCTTGTTAGATCACCGTATTCGTTGATAGACCAAGCGTGTTTTTTCCCGGGTGATAAACCGCTGAAGTTGGCTTCGATTCTTGCCAATTCCATACTTATTTGAGCCAGACGAACTACTCCGAAAATCTCTGGGCCTTTGAATTCCGCCACGGCAGCCGAAATCAACACATCTGAACACAAATCATCAAAAGTTAACTGATAGATGAAAAACTAGCTGACAGATGAAAAGTCAGCCGGTAGCTGATAATCTACTGGTTAACCAACAAAATGATGTTTGGTAAAACTAGTTGAGATATGTAAAATAGCATAAAAGGACATCTAAAAATATTGAGTGTTTTTTTTAATAACTAATAAAGGGTATATTTGGAGAAATTTAAAAAAAAAAAAAAAAAAAAAAAAAAAGCTTAATAAGCTCGTTTGAATGATAGACTGAATAACTTTTTAAAAAGCTAGCTTATAAGCTATTTTTTGGTTTGCTAAAAATGACAACCTAAAAGAAAACTTGAAAACGAATAACAATTGACATTGACAAAGGGAATGACCAAAAAATGAGAAAAGGAAACGAACCTCCTGGAGAGCCTTGACCAATTAGTCGAGCTTTTCGACCGGTTTGCTCCAAGGCTTCAGCCATGGTCTTAACGGGCGAAGACCCAAAAATTCTGACTACTTGATTGCTTAAATCCACATCAATGCTCTTAACTCCTAAATCAACAAAGAATATAGACATTAACATAAAGCAACATGAATCAGGACTTGCAAAAATTCTGACTACTTGATTGCGTTCATTACACTTACCATTGACTGTTTGTAACTTGTTCTTCACCGCTTTAACACAACCTTCGCAACTCATATCCACCATGAACTCTGTCTGTAATAACATGAATAAAAAATCTCAGAATATGGAATTTAATTAGGAAATGTTAAATGTTAGGGTTTCCATTAGATATCGATATCTGATCAAACAATTTGAAAATGAATTTGACATCTGATCTGAATATCATAATATTGCATAAGACATGAAGAGCCCAGTAATGAATCCAGCAATAGCTCAATAACAGAGAATCCCTAAACAAAGATGACATTCGTCTCAAATACATGAAAGATGACATTCGTCTCAAATACATGAACTTTCTCAAAAATGTTCTGATCGATTTTTCTGAAATTTCATCGAATCAAATTAATATATTTGAACTGACAAGATGAATTGCTACTAGCTTCAACAATTGATCAATTAATCAGAAGAAAACGAAGATTGAGAGCGTACCATAACTTCCGGTAATTCCGCATCGTACTGCAAATAAAGAAACAATACTCGATATTAAACAATTGAAATCAAGATGATAACGATAAATTGCAATCCCAAAAGATCAAAACCGAGTAGCTGTATGGACTGAGATAAACAGTTCTAACCATTAGGGCGGGTTTAGCGTCCATGTGAAGAGCTGAAGGAGGTTTGGTGTGAGTCTTGTTGAGGTCGAATCGATTTGGGGTCGAAGGGAACGAATTCAAAAAGGGTTTGGTGAAATTGTAATTGTAAGAGGAGGATGAAGATGGGGAGAGGGAATTGAGAGCGAGAGCTGTTGCTGCTGCTGTGACGGCCGTCGCTGTTGACGATGCTGCAACTGTTCTTAAGAATCCCATATTTCCCTTTTCCAAAATCCACGATTTTCGTTGAAATCAAATGTGGAATTATTAATTATTATTACTATGATGTCTTCTAGATGCATCATGAATCGTCCATGGACATGATATCACCCATACCATCATATTTTCATGGTTATAAAACCTTAAAAAAAATATTTGATAAAAATGAATTTAACTAATATAGATGGCTTATTGGAAAAAATAACCATCAACCATATTTCATGTACAACACAGTCCAAAAGCAATTGCAATTATGTACGTTTCGGATAGGGATGGCAAAAGAAACCGAACCTGATGGTTAAAACCAAAAATCGACATAATAGTGCCGGGTTTCGAGTCGTTTAATTGGGGTTGGGATCGGGTTTTGTATGCTTTTAGAAAAATTTTACGAGTTTGGTTACGGGGATGGTAAACAAAATACTCGTCCCGATTACCCGAAACCGAAACCCGTTACCTGAAATCGTTCATATATATATATATATATATATATATATATATATATATATATATATATATATATATATATACATACAGGAAAAGTGAATATACCCTTAAGGGTATATAAGCTTAGGTAACCAAACACATCATAATACGTCGTTTTTGTTGATATATTCATTATACTGTTCTTAAACTTCAACCCGCAACATTATTTACTTTCAATATTTTCAAATTTTCACTATTATCTTTCTCTTTTATCACATCTTTTTATCGAACACCTACTAGGCTTTATATATTTTCGTTGAAAATGAAAATTATTTAAGGGAAAGATAAATGTATAATTTATAAAAATCATGAAAGTAAATCAAGTTAGAAGTTAAATTACATGGACATTGTACAATTAGAATGTATTATATCAGATAAAACGATGTAGTATGGTGAGTTTAAATACCTAAGCTTATATACCCTTAAGGGTATATTCACTTTTCCCTATATGACAACAAAGAAGATAACTCAAGGAAATTAACATATATATATATATATATATATATATATATATATATATATATATATATATATATATATATATATATATATATTAATTTCCTTGAGTTATCTTCTTTGTTGTGAAAGATTTAAAGATAATTTCTTGAGATAGTTTCTTGTTTATTTGTATTTGTAGTACTAGCTAGTGTTTTCACATTTTTTTTATTCATAGTACTTAGAGTAATAGTGATATTATGATTTATGAATACTAGTGTCTATTGTTTTTTTGCCACTAGTAATCACTTATGTATCAGAACAAATACGTCTGCTCTTAATGGTTTTGTAAATTATCAAAATTATTTTGGATATGAATTTATGCATGCATCACTAAGTCTAATGGTTTTGTATTCTCATTGCATCAAAAGTATTCTTAATATGAATGTTAAACGGGGATCCCCCGTTACCCCGTTGGGATACTCGCAGACCCGATAGTGTTTGGTAAACGGGTACCCGTTAGGTATCAGGTTGGTGATGGGATCGATTTTCATATTTTGGGATGGGGACGGGATTACCAAAACTCGTCCCTAACCCGCTTCGTTGCCATCCCTAGTTTCGGTTTTGGTTCTGGTTGGTTCACTTTGGTAATAAAGCTTATTTCGAAGGTAGGGATGTTACCATTACAATTTGCAACTTTTAATGAAATAAAATGTGTATTGAAATAAAATGTGAATTGACAAATATACCTTAACGTAATTACGAACTTATAACAACCTATAATTTTTGATGGTTTTATTATTTATTGTAAATCTTTTAATTATTTTTTCAACTCTATCATCCTAAGTTCCTCATCAATACCATCGTTTCCGAGGTACATAATTTTTTTTTTCAGTCATCATTTATTTTCCGATTGTCATTCTTCTTTTCTGAGCTACTAAATTTCCTAAATGCTCAAGCTTATTCATAGAATAGAGAAAATGATAATTCAATCTTTGGCCAACCATTATTAGAATTATAGTGATACCCTCCCTATCGAACAGGACACCACCTCCTTTATCCTAGTTGTCTCTTTCGATGCCGAAAAAAAGCAATGAATCATGTACTCACACAAACACTGACCCTATTTATCATAAGCAGCCTTGCCAGAGACCATGATCAGAACCAATAAACTCCATCACCATTCTCGTCCATGTTTATCTCTATCTCTTCCTCTTCGAGTTGATAGACACCAAGGACAAGCTCGATCCTCCTTGTCTTCTTTCTACGGAAAAGATGACCACCAAGGTGGGAACGTTATCCCTCTTGCAACGACTAAAAGCCTAGAGAGATTAAGAAAACAAACTCGATTCCCCATAGAACTGCAAATTGTTAAACAAAAAAGATTCGGATTTCAGACAAATCAAAGAAACTTACAACCATTTCGCCGGAGAGTATCATGTGGATAGAAAAGGTTCTGATAACGGGAATCGCCATGAATTTGTTTTCTACTAACAAGGTCAACCATTTGGGTTTAGTAGCTGAGAAAAGAATATCGGTGCCCGGAAAAAAAATATGATCGAAAGCGATGATAGTGATGGGGATGATAGAGTTGAAATGGTAATTTAAGGATATATTTTTTTAAAAACACAATACAATGGTACAAAACTAATGGAATTTCTGTATCTATTGAAGTTAGAAAATTTGTACATAATCCATCACCCAAATTGTATTTATGAAGGAAACTGTTAGGTAAAGATTGAAATTTCTCTCTCTTAAGTAAAGATTGGAATTTCTCACTCTTAAGTAAATAGGTACATAATTGAAATTTTATATTAGTATTCAGTGGAAACATAAAAAATTACAGGGGGCTATTTGAAAAGGTGAGATTTAGGCCTATTTGGATGTGGGTAATATAGACATGTGACCCAATAGTTCGGTTTGCATTTTGGAGTCAAAGGGTAAAATGGGAATGTAGTGTTTTAGACTTTTTTTATGAATTATGGATTTTAGTTCAATGTGTTTTAAGTCAAAAGTAATTAGATAGGATTGTATAGCTCCTCAATACCTTTCTCTGGATATAAAGAACGTCAAAAACAGAGTTAGAACAAAGAAGTTATGACCATTTGAAGTCTGGGTGGTTTTCGGCCAAGCTGAGTACACTGGACGTACAAAAAGGTGTACGCTGGGCGTACTAATGGAATCCTGAGTACTCCGGGCGTACCAAGAGTACGCTGAGCGTACACAATCAGTGCCCAAACCCTTTTTTTGTGGTTTAAGTCCTATTTAAGCTCCTTAACTACCCTAAACCCACTCCATTCCCAGCCTCCACCCCTCCAACACCCCTTTCATGAAACCCTAACCTTAGATGAGCCTTGTAAGCTAAAAGAAGGTGATTTTGAGTGCTTTGGAGTATACATGGTGCACATTCAAGATGAAGGAACTTCTTATAGAAGTGTTGGTTGCATTGAAGCTTGTAGATCTAGACTTTGTTTACCTTGATTTATCTTCTAGAGGTATAAAGCTTGAATCTTGATGATGCATTTGTTAGATCTAGCTAGTTTTGGATGTTATGAGCTTTTGGTCATTTTAGTGCATAAAGTTTAGATCTTTAAAGTTTGTGACCTTGTTATGGATAAAGTTGAAAATTCTATCCATCTAAACATCATTGTGATTCAGATCTGAAGGTTGGAGACTTGGACTTAATGGATTAAGTTGAAAAATATGCACTTTTGGTCCCATTTGATGCTTAAAGGCTAGATCTTGGTAGTTTGGACCATTCTAATGGACAAAGTTGGAAACTTTATTCGTTATAGAGCTTTTAGGATCCATTAAAATGTAATCTTGACCCTTCTATACCTTCCATGAGAGTATCATGATGTCTTAATAGATTAATAAGTTAAGGTTTTAGCTTTTGGACCTTTTCTAGACATGGAAATTCATATAGATGGAAACTTTATCACTTAGAATGATGTTGTTAGACTAGCTTTGAGTGTTGGATGAAAGGACTTAAGAGATTAAACACTTAATGGAAAAGTGCCATTTGGTCGGGTACGCCAGGGGTACCTTTGATTACGCTGCGCGTACTCGTGTGGGGTCCCGATTCTGGTTGGTAAGTACGCCATGCGTACGAGCTAAGTACGTTGGGCGTACTCAGCCTGAAGTTTGATTTGTTGACTTTGACTTTCGTTGACCTTTGACTTTTGACCAAGTTTGACCTTGGGCCAAACTTGAGGGTTTTGGTCTATTAACTAAGATTTCATCTGATTCTAGTATTGATAGCTCGGAAAGCCAGTGAGGCGGCAACTAAGGATTTCTTCTGGGGAGCTTCTACATTCTAGGTGAGTCTCTTCACCATACAAATGGGTCGAAGGCACCAAGGCCGACCCATTTTGTGATATGTGGTATACTAGTTGATTTTGTGATATGTGGTACATTAGTTGATATAGTGATATGTAGTATACTAGTAGGTTATGTGCTATGTGGTATGCTAGTTGTCTCTTTGATATTTTCATGAAAGACCATGGGGGAGCTCATGACACTTGGATATAAGACCATGTGGGGTAGCCCATGGCATTCCAAGTAAAGACCATGGAGGGAGCCCATGACACTTGGATATAAGACCATGTGGGGGAGCCCATGACATTCCAAGTAAAGACCATGTGGGAGCCCATGACACTTGGATATCAGATCATGTGGGGGAGCCCATGGCTTTCCAGGTAAAGACCATGGGGGAGCCAATGACACATAGGTGTAAGACCATGGGGGGAGCCCATAACATCCTTATATGTTTATATGCACGACTTATGTGATTGATATGGATTATGTGATTATGTGGATTATGTAGCGTATGCTCCGGGGAACTCACTAAGCTTCGTGCTTATAGTTTTGTTTGTGGTTTCAGGTATCATTGGTTTGGAAAGGAACGGTCCGGCTTAATCACAGCGCACACACCCGTGTTTTCCGCATTATTTGATTTTGGGACGTAACTCTGATAAATGTTTTAATTAAGCAATGTTTTTGAATGATTGGATGAAGTAACATTTGTGTTTGACTATTATGAAAAATGAAATTTTTATCCTGGATTTTTGGATCGTTACAAGACTAATCATTTCTAACATCTTCTTTCTGATCTGTTTGGGTTTGCTTCTAACTACAAAACCCTCACGTGTAAATATTGAGATTGTCTTTGTTGTGCTTTCAACTTTTGCCTGGACTCTTTGGAGATACCGATGTGATAATGTTTTAAATAGAAGATTTAACATTGTCACATGTTGGCTAGTGAGGT